CGACCAAGATGGCAACTACGTTCGCAAAGGTGGCGACCCTGACGCCGTACACGACAACTGGTTGGAAGGCCTCAGTAAGAAGGAGATGAGAAAGGCAGCCGCCGCGCATGAGAAGCGCGAGGCTGAGGCACGAAAGCAACGCCTAGAGGACGACGAGCTCCTCGTGTCAGATTTGCTCAAGACACTGATACTCAATCTTGAACGTGCTGAGACGCCACTCGAGGCTCTAGCCCGACTCGGCAAAAAGCAAACAAAACCTAAAAAGATCCCGAAGTGGAAGCTCAAGAAGATGAACAAGGGTGCTGAAGGCATGGAGGTTGATGGCGGTGAAAGCATTGAGGATGCGGAGCAAAAGAAGATCAAAGCATCAATTGATGCCATCACGGAAGCTGCAGATAAGCTGTTAAGCCGCGATCATGAGGAGATTTACGAACAAGAGAGAGAGCTCCTCGTCCGAGAGTATCGTAAGGAGACAGGAGAGGATTGGGTGGAACCAGAAGCTTCACAGACAAACCAGGATGAGCACGCGGCGGTGAAGCCGGGAACAATGTGGGAGTTCCGATGGATAGATGGACGCGATGGAAACGACAGTCAAGGGCCATATGATGGGGACACAATGAAGGCGTGGAAGGATGCTGGGTACTTCCCAGAGGGCGCGGTCGAGTTCCGAGCGGTTGAGGAGGGCCGCGAGTGGTCTTTACATGTCGATGCTTTTGAGTGAAGACATTACAACGGGATGGGATATCAGCCGAGAAACAAACTTAAGGTAGTGCGGGCTGAGGAGATATCTGGTGTGGTCTGGCCCTTGTCTCTATCGCAGAATGATTGGCAACTAGCGAGTCTCAGCTTAAAAGGGCATATGCAGCGGTCTTTCCCATGTTCCGGAGATGGACATCCGCTGGCTCATGTTCTTGTGTACGGATGGTCTTACAACCAGTCATATGTGTACAGGGCCAAGAACAAAACGAACAGGCTGTATGTAAGTGGACGATTCGATCCCGACGACATGATGGTGAGTGGATCCCGTTTCACGTCAAATACTTACAGCCTGCATGGGAAAGACTGCATGGCACAGATAGCTTCGGGTCTGTGGCTCCGAATCTGAGGACAATATTGAAAATCAAGTTATCTTAGATGGCCACATCATCTGCACCTTGGGGGAAGTGGGCAATGATCATGAGGGCCCGACGAGGCTTAGCCGCTGACTAGGATAGGTTTCTATAAAGGTCAATGGTCGAGAATCATGATGGTGCATGATGGTGCCGCGGGAAGATGACGAAAGAGGGAAGCTAAATGCCAAAAAGACCATCAAATGGGTTGTAAAGACCCAGGCTAGATGGACATGATAGGGCATAATGTGGCAGGACGTTCCTGGGGATCCCGAAGTGCGCCGGGAACGGGTGAGGCCGGGCGAGTGGGATCTCGAAAAAAGAGGCTGAAAAGCCGGGGCAGGGAATATGGAGTAAGATATAATGGAGACATCTGGGGATAATGATGGGGTTGTATGGGGTTATACGGAGGGACGGGTGAGGTTGGAACCTACCATGTGCCCTGGCATGCGAGGCTTGAGCCGATCCAAGCCCGTGATCCCGTGATGCTCCGGTACGTGGAGCGGGAGCCGGGGCGGCAGCCGTAGCCGAACGGTCAAGCACCGAGGGAGCAGGAGGTTGACTCCCGGAGACGAACGGGCTAGGTCGGATGGGCAGGGATTGTTCGGGAATGGTGTATGTCAGAAGTTGCATCTCAGTATGTAAGTGAATTGTAAGGGTTCGGGATCTATTCGGCGACGAGTTTTGGTACGTAACATGATGAGAGTCTATGTGGGCTTGGCCTTGAAATCATGTCGATCAAGGTATCTCGGCATTGGTATTATCAGTAGTATTGGGTGATTCGAGTAATGCTAGAAGGATCGATATCATGAACTGATATTGCAATGCGTATGTATGTATGTATGTTTGGATGTGCTGTACTGGATGTAGCTAGTCCAGGTCCAGGTCAGATTAGCACTGGATTCGCTCAAGGATCATGGAGACAGGGCAGGGGTTCGGTCAGCGCAGGTGGGCTCAGGTCAGGAGAGGTTCGATCTCAGGTGAGGAATCTCGGTGAGATTTCAAGATGGGTACATACAGTCAGTATAGAGGAATATGAGACCATAAGGGTCCGTGGTTTCATGGAATCGTAGGTGAGAAGATATGATAGGGCTCTGGCAGATTCAGGGTCTCCATTTTTGGTGATTGGAAATAGATGCTGGACACACCCAGGGGTCTCGACAAAGGCCCGATGTCAGATAAGCGGACTTTGTTTTGGCGATGGAATTGACATTACAGATGGCATACATAGACTGGTCTGATCTGATGTGATATAGGTAGTCGAGAACAAGAGAGAGCATAAGGAGAAGCGAATACAGTCGGTCCGCAAAAGCTCGTGGCCTACCAACGGGCCGACAGAGGCCCTGTTATCGGTAAGTTCATGTTTGAGTGAGCTTAGTTGAGCTGTTTTTTTGTTCCATCATGATACCTCTCAACAATTGTTGCCTCACCGTAAGAGAGAGAGGTGAGGGACAGCAGGGTAGGTAGCGTGAAACAGTACGAGGTCAATATCAGTTAACCTATTGCTTAGGCTTTGAAGAAAGGCATGTCTAGCTAAACCTGGTAAAAGATTGCTTGGGCCACAGCAACTGATACGACGAGCTCCAACACATTTGTTATGACTGTATTATATCATGTTTACATGTTGATATCGGGCCAATACTATGACTGAACAAAAAAAAACCCGCGACTCGAAGACCGAGAACGTACATACAGCCCCGCCACATTGCGTAAAAGACGCAACACAAGCTGTAAAAACCCGCAGCTAAGTTAGATTCGAGCGAAGATCAGGTACTAAGCCTCATTCAGTGTCACCGTCTTGGTGGTGAAGCTTCTAGCTCAAATAAGGTGACTCCGGTATAAGTGGGCAAAGCATTGGATACGTAAATAGAAATTAAAAACATTTGTCGTGGAGATAGGTAGAGGCCGAAGCATATCGAAAGACGAGAGAGAAACAACACACGTTCACAAAGGATTGGATTCATACGAGGACTCGGAACCGTACGACTCGTTTGCGATCGGTGAACAAGGCGAACCGAGCTTTCAATATGTCGAGGGGACGTGCATAGTCATCGGCGGCGGCAGCCGTTAACGATGAAATCAAGGTAGAAGCATATTATGGGCTGGCAAAGTGAGAATGGATAATATGGCGGCAAATAGGCGTAAAACTTACAGATCTCATCATAGGTATGCAAGGTAGCCCAAGATGATGAGGCGTTCATGTCCACTATAACCGGAGGCTCCGGAGAGAGATGGGATTGTGTGAAAACATCTGATCTGATCTGATCTGATCGACAAGTGACGCATTCCTTGGAAAACTAACCATCGAATTGCTTGCTATTCATCACGGAGAGTTGCACGGTAGAATACGGTGTCTTGTTCGGCGGCACCTACAAAAATATCAAGGATGGACGTGGACGGGACGGGAGGGGATGGGATGGGCGATGGAATCAACAGAGAGTGGCACCTCATGCATGGAGGGGCAGAAAAGATACCTATGTATGTACATGGTTTTGAGAGGGAGGGGCATACTACAGGGAGGTAGCTTTTCAGGGCATCACCCCACCACGAAGCTCTCGTCAGTGGTGGGGTCTGAGACATGATGAAGCTGAGAGGGCAGTACAGATGGCGATAGAGCTGCTACTATCTATAGGCACCTTGGTAGTATTATGGATATGGATTTGTAAGTCCAGGGCAAGAATGTAATGGCTTATTAACTAAGAAGTAGAGTCATACCCCAAGAACAAGGCTGTGAAATTGGTCATGATGGCCTTGACTGAGCTAACGTTAGGTTACCTAGTGAGTGAGAGAAAAAAAAAAGAGCTCCCACCCTCTCATCCGATATTGAATGTTCCATTGGCCCCTGCTGTTATGATACACTAGGTACAGTACAGTACTGTACTGCACCCCCCGGGCAACAGGGTTGTATGTTCGTGGGATGATTGATGATGTGGTGTTGGTGGTCTAAAGTGGGTTGGTTGCTAATGGTAGAGCAGAGCATATTCTGACGAGAGAGAGAGTAACCAGAGGGAGGATGAGTGAATAAGGTGAGGTTGGTAAGTAAGGCAAACCAATGTCCGGGAAATTCATATATGTACCTCTACTCCCCCTTTACTGCTCTTCCCTTCTCTTTCCTTTCCTTTCATTCTCATCATCCTCAGCTTCATAGCAACAACTTCCACTACAAACCTCTTGGTATGTGAACAATCTACCCCTCCATCTCCATCTTCACCACCACCACCACCATCATCATCCATCAGTGTCGTAACATGATGATGATGCATTGCTTTGCCTCTCACCTTGTCCTCTTGCCTCTCCACCAGCAAAACAGATTGTCATGTCATATCATGTCTGCATCCGATTCAACATAATGAGAAGACGATACGACGACACGTCAATCGATATGGGTGATGGATTGGTTGGCATTGATTGGCATGGCATGGATGGCATTGGTGTTGCTATAGAGAGGGGACAGACAGACAGACAGACAGACTGGGAGGGAGAGGGACAAGATCTCTCTCTTTCGGGGCATTGAGCTCTGTAATTCAGAGCTCTACTCTCTGTCTCTCCTCTCTAGCCTCATCTGCTTGCCCCTCCTTTGCACCGACGTTCCAATTCCAATTCCAGTCCACACCCACTTCTTCACTTGCTGTTTCCCTGTGGCAACCTTCCTCCTCAGCAAAAAAAGCTTCCCGTTCCACTCAACCTCCGTCATACAGATATAAATTACCCCACCCCCTCACCTCAACCTCAACCTTCCCTTCAGCTCTCCTCTCCTCTCCATCTCCATCTCCATCTCCATCTCCATCTCCATCTCCATCTCCATCGCACTTCATCTATCTTCTTCCTAAAGATATCTCATCTGACTCTCTTGCCTATACAGAAACTACCATTTCTTCTACAATCATCAAAATGGCTCCCATCAAGGTCGGCATCAACGGTTTCGGTCGTATCGGCCGTATCGTCTTCCGCAACGCCGTCGAGCACCCCGATATCGAGGTTGTTGCTGTCAACGATCCTTTCATTGAGCCTCACTACGCCGTAAGTAGACCCCCCCTGCGAGCTCGTTCGATACGACAAACAACCCTACAATGCACTGCTCGGGAGCTTGTCGCTTTATCACGACTCTTTAAACCCGCGTCGTGATTCAGCTGCAGCTTGCAAGTCACCGCACACTGTCGTCCATAATACGCATTGTGCCGGGTCATGTAATTGGCACCGCCAGCTGTCACCAGCAGCAATGCTTCATGTCCCACCAAGCTACCCCTCACTGCCCCACGTCCAATACAATATCACCTTCAGGTTTGAGCCTCAAGCTAACCTAAACTCCCTACATAGGTCTACATGCTCAAGTACGACTCTTCCCACGGCATCTTCAAGGGTGAGGTCGGTAACGATGGCAACGACCTTGTCGTCAACGGCAAGACTGTCAAGTTCTACTCTGAGCGCGACCCCGCCAACATTAAGTGGTCCGAGACCGGCGCCGACTACGTCGTCGAGTCTACTGGTGTCTTCACCACCATTGACAAGGCCAAGGCCCATCTTACTGGCGGTGCCAAGAAGGTCATCATCTCTGCCCCTTCTGCCGATGCTCCCATGTACGTCGTCGGTGTCAACGAGAACAAGTACGATGGCTCTGCCGACATCATCTCCAACGCCTCTTGCACCACCAACTGCCTGGCTCCCCTCGCCAAGGTTATCAACGACAAGTTTGGTATCGTTGAGGGTCTCATGACCACCGTCCACTCCTACACTGCTACCCAGAAGACCGTCGATGGTCCCTCCGCCAAGGACTGGCGAGGTGGCCGTGGCGCTGCCCAGAACATCATCCCCTCCAGCACTGGTGCCGCCAAGGCTGTCGGCAAGGTCATTCCTGAGCTCAACGGCAAGCTCACTGGCATGTCCATGCGTGTCCCCACCGCCAACGTTTCCGTTGTCGATCTTACTGTCCGTCTCGAGAAGGGTGCTTCTTACGACCAGATCAAGAAGGTCATCAAGGAGGCCTCTGAGGGTGACCTCAAGGGCGTCCTGGCCTACACTGAGGACGATGTTGTCTCCTCCGATCTCAACGGCAACACCAACTCCTCCATCTTCGATGCCAAGGCCGGTATCTCTCTCAACGACAACTTCGTCAAGCTGGTCTCCTGGTACGACAACGAGTGGGGTTACTCCCGCCGTGTCCTCGACCTCCTGGCCCACGTTGCCAAGGTCGATGCCTCCAAGTAAGCGTAGACCGCTCAAGAGGCTGGAAGCAAAATCAAACCTAATCAGACGCGGCATGATGACGATGCCAATCTGCCGCGTGTTTTAATGAAGCAAAGAAATGAAAGGAAGTAAAAATACCAAAATTAAGGGAGATTGTCGGAGGGGATGATAACGACTTTGTTCTCATCGGCTCCAGTTCCCTACTAAACAATTGATCTTAGTATAGCCGTGGACAGAAAAAATAAATAAATAGATCCATCCCTCTTGCAAACGTTTCATGTCTATCTGTGATTAATTTTGCTCATGGCCAGCTTGACAAACCAAGCTGTGTAAGTCTCTTAGCGGTCCCCAGGGAGCCAGAAGACATCAGACCTTAATACAGGGGCGTTGGAATAAACTTAGCAAAAGGTATCCTAAGCTTATGCTAAGATACCTAAGTCTTTTTGCCATCTAGGATCGAGGTCCTGATCACTCAAGTCGAGCATCTCACCAGAAGATCGCACGTTGCGGCATGCAACTTGTATGCCAGCATCTGCGTAATTCATGATATCGGCTTACGTGGGGTTTCCTGGCATTTCTCGACGGTCTTAGGTCTATGCGTCAAGCTATTGAGTTCAAGTCCTTTATTTTCGTTCCATGCTGGTGCATGCACGCATTTATGTATGGTATGTGTATGCACACCTTACGAAATGGTATTTCCCTGTAAACACACCCTTGCTATTCCCTTTTTCTTTTTCGCCAGATGCTCCTTTGACTCCCTCGTCTCATTATCCGTTGTCTTGCTCGGAAAGCAACCCTTTTCGGCCATAGAGTACAATAATAGAAAAGAAAAAGAAAAATGTCATGTCATGACCGCACTCGCGACGTCCGAGGCGTAAGAGATGAAAATAGATCGCTATCCGCTTTGAACCGGGGATATCATAGTACAAGCAAAGTAAGTAACATTGGTCCTTGCCACGCTCCTCAGCAGGTCAGGAGGCAATATGCAAACTCGATCTCGATAAGCATATTTGGTGAGATGTGCACAATGCGAAGTCATCTCGCATTGCTCGAGCTTCGTTTCAACCGCATGTCTTCTATGGCGCGCTCCCAGTGTTGTTGTAGATGCTACTACACTGGTTGATGGTGTCATTGCCGGGCAACCCTAATGCTGGCTTCATTAGGATCAAACTCCGGTGACCACTGGACATTCTCCTCCTGACACCAGTGCCGAACAACACGCATCGACGCTTGGCAAACTTCCTCAACGGTCGACCAGGGGGTAATGTCAGCTCGAAGACGAGAGCTTCCTATGCCATCGTAAATGCTGTGAACCGCGGGCCAATTCCGATAACGAGTCGACTGGTGTGCAAAGAGCTCCTCCTTAGAGATATTCTCGTAGTTGGCAGATGCCTTGAGAAATTCATCCACAGTGATGGCTTGTAGAATCAAGATAAGAGCATACATGGGTTGGCTTCGCCGCGAGTCACGGCGTGTCTCGTTTGTTAGATAATCCACCATCTTGATCAGGCTGGCCCAAGAGCCCGGATCAGATGGTTTATTTTGTAAATTTCGATTGACGTTAAGAAGGTAGAAGCTCGCCATGAATGCAACAGTGCTCTCCACGGCGAGTGCGTAATATTGTTTGCGACTCGAATCGGCCCCTCGTTTGTCGCCACTACTCGAAAGCTTGTTAAAGCGCTGATTAGCGACATCGCCTTCATGCTTCAGTCGCCGGCCTAGGTTAGAAAATCGTGTGTGTTTGTCAAAAATGGCCCGCGGGTCGGCCTTGTCACGAGTGGCATCCGTGCCATTGGTGGTTGGCCGCTCCGATGACCCAACAGGTACAGGTGTCACGGTAAACGAGTCGCCGGGTGTGTGAGCCTGCGAGTTGCTGGAACTGACTCGGGACATGGCTGCACCCTTCTTAGAGGGAGTCGATGGTGGCGGGAGACTGGCAGAAACGGAAGGCATTCGAGGTCTTTTGACGGCTATTGTATCGCCAGTATTGTCTAACGATGCAGGGCGCTTCTTTGCCTGGCTGATAGACGGCGCCTCCATGCTTTCAGACCGCTCTCTGCGTTTGGAAGGTAGGGCCAGGATACGCTTCAACGTTTGCCGCATTCTCTTGGATATTCGTAGAGTAACGATAAGCCGTTTCTTTTCTTTAGTACTGTGAGCATCACCATCCTGCTCCTCTCCATCCTCACCATCCTCCTCTTCTTCATGCCCGACAGGCGCTTTCCTCGCCGTTGATGACTTGTGGCTTTCTTCGTAACGTTTCTCGCGTGGTTCATCCTTTTCTCGATCATCTTGGGTCTTGGATTCCGTTGCTTTCGTTGAAGCCTTTCTCCGTGATAGCTCAGCCTCTAGGGAGCTTGGTAATGTGGGGGATAGGAGGGCAGGTAAGCGTATTGGAGATTTTTCTCTGGTTGTGTCGTTCTTTGTCTTCAATGCCGGGGGTGGGTCCAGCTTCTTCGGTTTCGTTGCTTTGGTGGCGTCAGCAGCATCCTCACGTACCCGTCTCCTATCGCCTTTATCCGTTGAGTTTTGGCTATCCCAGCTTAAGTGAAGAGGCGATAGTAGCGGGGGCACGGACGACCGCGAAGCACTATCTATCTTGTTTGGTGTTCCCTTCGTGCTCCCCGATGCGCCAGGTCGAACGCCATTGACAGAGTCGCCACGTGCGCGCACAGCCGGAGAAGGATTGCGGACGGAGGTGCTGGTACTCTTCAAGATACTGCGTCCATTGGGAAGCGACGAAGAGCTGGTAGGCTTGTCCCTTGGTGGAATATCGGATGGTGCCAAAGAATCTCTATCCTTTCTGCGAGGGGGTTCATCGCGACCTGGTCGCGATCGATCATCGTGAGGGCGAGGCATGTCCGGCCTGTGTCGTTTTTGCGATCTGTGGTCATCTTCGACGTTCGATGCTCGTTTCCTGCTGTCTGGTGATACGGGACGAGGTGGAAGGGATGCGGGCGGTTTAGGGGGTAGCCTGCAGCAGAGTCAGTATGGGAGCGGCATCACCCAGGTAATCATGGGGCAATCAAAGCCGCATCTTACCTCATGTCAACAACTGGAAGTTCCCTGGACTTTTGTGATTTGGTATCGGGGTGCTGATCCTTTTGTCGCTGTGAATCGGGCTTCCTGATCTCGGGTACAGATCTTGGCTCTGCAGATGCGCGCTCAAGCTCGCGCTTTTTGGCGCTGGGTGGTTCTGGGGTGGAGGTATCTGAGGTCACACCAGACGTCTTTTTGTTCTTGTAGTCACTGAGTGACAGCTTCTTCTTCTCGCCGCCTTTTGCGAGAATGCCCACGTCCCGAGGGACGGGCTTAGGAGGCTCGACACGCATGTCGTAGTAGGATCTAGTAAGAAGTACACCGCGATCGGCTTCCGACACGAGAGTCGAATATTGCAGGCGAGTATTATCCCATTCCTCAAGATGCTTGTGTCGGGATTCGCTGGCGGGGATGTGATATCGCCAGTCCGGGGAATAAGAGAGATGATGTGGTTTCTCGGGCAGGATGCGCTGTGTGAGCTGCTGAACCGTCTTCGCCGCGGCTTCCATTGTTCATGGATGTCAGCATGCCGGAAGGACGAAGACGGGGGTGTGGTGCGATGCTGTGCAGTGCAGTTGCGATGCGGTGCGGTACGAGGTTTGGCGATCGCAGGTGACGCGCGCGAGGGGTACGCAGGGAGGCCGAGAACGCGACGATGGAAACGCTGAGAAGAAACACAAATGCGATAAAGATCTTGAAAGCAGCGCGAGTCCCTGGAAATGGAGGGTGCTCAAATCATGCGTCATTCACGACTGATTGGCAGGGTTGTCGCGATGTGATGGTGGCCGATAGTGGTGGTGGTTGATGCCGAGCGACAAGGCATGGAAAGTGACCCAGTCGCACACGATAAGGGAAGATTGGAGAGTGTTAGCGCGCAGGCAGGAGACGAAACAACAAAGCGGCGGTGGATCGGAGCCCAGAAGCTCTGTCCAGGCCCCGGTGAATCAGATTGACAAAGAGAGCGGTGGTGTTTATTATGTTGTTGGGGCCGAATGAAACGAGAATTGAGTTAGGAATTGGAGAAATAAGGGAGTTAAGCTGGAAGGGCATGAGCATGTCTCTTTTGTCCCTTCTTTTGTTGCTGAGGCTAAAAAGGCATCAAACGTACGGAGTACATACGTACCTACCTACCCAAGGCAAGGTAAGGTAGGCCGGGATCTAAGTTGGTTGGGTCTTGGTTTTAGGTGGTCGGGATTGGATGTTTGAGATTTCCAGTGCAGTGGCAGCCCACCTCAGTCAGGCAGGGCCAGACAGTGACAGGGACAGCTGGGCTGCACTTGCACTTGCAGTGACAGATACTTCATCTACATATATCTCACTGACGTCTTGTGGCAGTTGACAGCGGTCAGGAAAGGAAAGAACCACCCGACCAACCTTAGCAGTGACGATCCGTACCTACCTACCTAGTGGATCAAGGGTACCTACTTAATAGAGCGAGACCTTAGCCTTACTCTGTTATACATGTATCACATCTAGCAGAAGGTAACCACTAGGTACGTAAGGTAGTAGGCTTCATTTCCGTCCGTCCCGTCCGTCACTTCACAGTTTGATCTTCTTCTCTTATTATGGTGACTGTCCTTGATCCACTCTCCCCTGGACAGGCGTTTCCGTTTGTGGCTGCTCTAATGCCTTCCCCTCATGTTTTAGGTTTTTGTGGCTGATCTTGAAGTAGTTTTGTCCGTGTCTTGGTATGGCCGGTTCCTGGGCCCTGTTTCTTCTAGCTGTATGCGCTTATAGGACAAGCATCAATTAACATTACCCTATTACCATTTCAGTATTAAAATCCCCATGCTAACAATATATACAGTGAGGCCAAATATGCATAGCTAAGATAGTATCTTAAGAGTGGTTTTGTTTATATAAATACCTTAAGTATTATAAAAGTTTATAAAAAAAAGCATTAATAATATAGTTAATAAAATATTCTTATAATAAAATAAATACTTAATCTATATAAAGTATATCTATTAGATCTTATTACT